GTGGCATCTTGGCAAAGCATGCGAACTCAGGGTGTAGGATGTTTACCATCAGTCATTAGATTCTCAGTATAATGAGGCAGTGATATAAATCAAGGGGTTGAATAAGCTCAAAGTGGCAGCAATAATAGTCACAGCTAAATACTGATGTATTAGCTAAAGGCATAGACTTAACGCTGGGAGCTGTGGGAATTCTGGGGAGATAAGGAGAGAAGAGTCATACATAGGGAAGTGAGACCTTTTTAAAACCACGGGAGGATCACCTGCCTCCTCCCTGCAGGTTCCAAAGCTCTGAGCTTCTGCTCAAGTGAATTGTATATTGTCAGCTCTGTAGAAAGTGACCTAAATTTCCAACCAAGCGAAGTTTCAGGGGTGGGAAACCTTGTGATGAATGGCCACATCATGGGCACATTTCTCCTGGTAGAGAGACTTTGTGAACAGAATACCTCTGCCCGAGATAAGCTTGTGGAGGGGCTAACCCAGCTGCACATGGCCTGTGACGCTGATTAATAAAAAGCTCCTCCCGTGCACACAGTATTTCATATCATCTGTCAGTTTACAGATCGTGACTCTGACCCAGAAAGAACAGCAAGAAAAGGATTACACTGGAGTTTAGATCTCTGCCATATTGTCAGCCTAGTGTCTCCAGTTTGGGGACATTGTAGTAATTTGTTTTTATTCTAATTTTTTTTCTTTACAAGTTGCTTTCACGTACATTAGCCCATCTAATGCTCACAACTCTATGAAGAATCATTATCCTCATTTTTCACAAAAGAAAAGCAAGACCCAGAGAAGTCAAGTGACTTGTTCAGAGCCACACAGGAAATACGTTGAATAACTAGTCAGGGCCAAAATCCAGGGCTGCTGCTTGTCAATGCCGCACCCTTTCCTATTACAGCGCCCCACCTTCCAGAGGGGACCTAGGGATGGGAAACAGAGATTTCTCTGCCTGCTTTATGCTCTGACAATTGCTAAAAACATCTGATCCTTCTGCCCTGCCCTGACTCACCACAAATGGTGTCAGTGGGTTTGATAAAGTGGGACCTTTCTCCCTTCATGCTCACTCTGGCACCAAACTGATGGATGCCTGGAGATGCAGATCATGAAGGTCTAGAGCCTGCATTCCCCCCAAGCTGTCACTGATCACAGAACAAGTTAATTAAACCTGGATTATTTAACGACAGTTAATAAGATAAACTTCCTCCCAGAAGCCAATGGGAGCAGACACTGTTGTCCCTTAACGGTTGTACGGGAGTGGATGAGGCACTTTCTTCCACCAGAGAGAGGGTCTTTAAGACTCCTAACGATAGCAGGTATGAGTGCTTCTCTGCAAAGGGGATGATGTGAGCATATGTTTTCTAAAAACAAGTTAACCCCTCAACACCCATTGAAAGCATACTGGATTCTATGTTGCTGGAAACATTACGGCTTTGGCTGGGAAGAGGGTTGTTATCCCCAGGAAAGTGTCCCAAAGACCCAGGCCTGGGTACATCGGAGGTCAAAGGACACACGGCATTGTTCAGGGTTGGCGTATGAGGGTCAGGTCCCTCTCACGATAAATATTTCAGAAAGGACCTAATTCCTTATCATAGTTGAAGAGAGGGAAGCACTACAGTATCGCATATGGGGAGTATTTGGTTTGGGGAAACCTGTTTTTCAGTAACCAGAAGTCTTTCTCGACTTGGAAAAGACTGCATTTCGTGCACATGCTCACATCTGTCCCCAGCTAAGGAGCATGTTACATTTACACTGACGTCCAGACTCTAATCTGCCTTCATACTTCCTTGAGCCACAAGAGAGCAGACGGTGAACAGAGCAAACTGACAGCAGCAGCTGGAGCCAGAACGTTTACGGCTACTCCCGTCCCGGGCCGGGAGGCAGGGAGGAGGCCCCCTAGGATTTTTAAAGCATCGAGAGACAGATCGCTTGCCAGAACTGTCCCTTCTGCCTTAGGAAACCTATTAAAAAGAAAAGGAAGGAAAAATAACCTATCAAAGTCAATGACTGCTGGAATGAATAGAAATATACATTATTATATGTTTAATATTTATATTAATTTAGAATGCACTTATTATAATATATTAATATATTTTCTATCTGTCTTCCAGCTAGAGTTTTTATAAGGGGGGCTGATCTAATGCAATTCATTAATTTAATGAATTTAACTATATGGGTTCTATGGTTATGACATAAGGAAAGAAGAAGAAAAAGAGCTGTGAATTTGAACTCCAGTTACTGATCTAAGTGACTTTGTGCTTTAACCCAATATAAGCGATATGGGTGATAAAGTGAGAAGCCCAATGCTAACTACCAGGGCATGACTGGTGGTAAAAGAAAAGGCCAAAACATGTGAATAAAAGGGAGAAGTACTCAAATGCTGTGTTTATTCTGAAATACAGTGTTTAGCCTTTATTATATGCACTTACAGCTGGGTTTTTAAAAAATTTTTCTTAAATTTTTCTTCTTATTATTTTTTTACCATAACTCCTGGCAGGAGAAAATAGCTTTGCTATCATGGGTTTGAAATTATCTAGTCCTCTTTTCCCCTTTAAAACAGAGGCTTTGAAACTGCATTATTGATAATGCAAGTTTTCTAAGCAACGTAGCCATTGCATTAGGGCAAAAAAGACTCTGAATGTAGTATATGTAGCTGTATCTCAGAAACAAACACAGACACTTATAGAAAGGATATCTTTTGGCCGGCTAAACTAGGACATGGGAAGAGGCACGTCCACAGAATGGAAAGGAACAGACTTCTTAAATACATAAATTACTGTTCCCATGTCTAACTGGAAATTAATGCCCAGGTAATTTAGAGTTACATCCATTTGATGGGATGAATTCTGTGATTCCTTTATGCTCATTGCTACCTCCCTGTGGCGTGGTTCCATTTCTGAGCCCATGCTGACTAGTCAACAGGTAGTAGCCACCTAGGAGTTTGCAGGCCTCCGAAACGGAAATGAATCCAATCATGGAGACAGCACAGAGTAGGCTGGGAGAGTTGTGAACTTACCGTAAGTAAACATTAACACGTGCATGCGGTCAAGCCACTAACGATGGTAGATTCATCCCCAAGAAACACAGTTCCTTGCTACTCAAAAGAGCTCATCCTTCAAGCCAGAGTTTTTAAAATGCTTTCTTCCTCTGCAAGGACTTCGGGCATTCTCCCAGGAAACACAATTGTTCCTTCTCTAGGGCTTCCCTTGCACTCACATACCTCTCGCAATGCAGTTACTTTATTGTACTGTAATCATGTGTTTGTGTGTGTGTTGTTTCCTGTGGGGAGGAAGAGATGGGACCTTTTTTTTTTCATCTTTATATGTCCAGGCCTATTACCTCGCTGGCGCTAAAAATTTTTTTGTTGTTGGATGAATGCATCAAAAATTCCAAAACTGGTTATCAAAAGCCTCTTGAAGGGACTTCCCTGGTGGTCCAGTGTTAAGCCTTTGCACTTCCACTTCCGGGGGCACGGGTTTGATCCCTTGTCAGGGAACTAAGATCCCACATGCCACATGATGTGGCCAAAAAAATTAAAAAATTAAAAATTAAAAAAAAAAATCTGGTATCAAAAGCCACTTGAAACAGATCATAAGGTGGCTGAACAGCTGTTTTAGGTTCTATAAATATTGATAAATACATGGCAGGAATAAAGATTTCTTGGAATGAAATGAGGAAGATGTATTTCAGGGCAGTTAGGTCTTTTAGAACCATTTGTGAAGATCAGTCCGAATTTTCAGTTAAAAATCCCTTCATCTTCTAAGACTTTGTAAGCTGGGTCATTGCCAAGAGTATCTTTTATGGCTGAGCTCTCAACCAGTGGAAAATAAGATTTATGAACTCTGAGTTTGCTAGTGCTATACTTACATCTCTCCCCTCCAGGATTACAGTTCCTAAAATGTTTATGTGTAGTTAGCATTAAATGTCTGCTTTCTCCTGGGCAAAGAAATGACTGTATAATGGAATAATATGCTTAATGAGGAGGAAAGAGTTGGTATAGAAAGGAAGAAGAGAATGGGCCAGATCTTGCTGAGGAAAGATGCTGCTAAGGCCCTTTTCTCTTGGTTCCCAGAGAAAAGGTGCTTCTTTGGTCCACTGCTAACCCAGCTGTGAGTTGTTTTCAATTTGTGTCTTCTTTTCTACAGTCCTTTTACCACCTAAACTCTCACCTAATTACGTTTGAAATACCCAAGACCTTTGGGAAGTGCGTTTTCTTTGGTGGACCCATAGTTGCCGTCACCACAGTTCTGAAAAACTCCCTTGGGTCCTGAATTCCACCTTAATCAGATAATCTGCCTTCCAGAATTTCCTTTCTGAGGAATTAACCTTTCATCTCACTGTGCTATGAACATTGAACAGGTGAAAAGGAAGCCTTCCTTTGCCAAGGAAAATTCTGCTATGTTTGATAGCCAGCAGGGCACATTTACAGCTAATCAATACAATAGCAGGGAGCAGAAGGGATTAGGAAATGATGCGAGTTGTGCTTTCACAATCTAGAATGAGTCATACTTTTCTTTAGAAAAGTCTTTTTTCCCTCAATCTGAAAACAACAGCTGACGTCTTGTGAAGTCTACCTAAGATTTTCAGGGCTCCAGGCAAGGAGCATAGAAGAAGTCTAAACTCAAGTGATGCATTCAAATGGCCCCCAGTATGCAGGAGCCCCATCCAATAAAGACACGAGAGCCCATGTGGTATGATCTTTCTTCACCAGAAGTTGGCCCAGTCACAACCTTAGCATATTTTATCCTAAACAGAGGAGCTCCATTGACTCTTTGCCCCCAACGTACTTCACTCTGGCAGTGAGCTTTTGGCAGATGCAGGGATGTTTGATGGGCACCCACACCAGGTGAAGCTCACGCAGGCATTCCTGCTTCTGGGCGGCCATATTGTCTCTCAGCTCAGACCCTATAGAGCCCAGCTCTTGACCCATTCCTGTGCTTCCTGGACTTCCTGGAGTGTAGAGTGATTGCCTTTCTACTGATCATGCGTGTTCCCCTCTGTCACAGGAGGACTGTGCCCAGGGTCCAACGATCCTTGCGTGGAGAAGCCGTGTCCAGGGGACATGCAATGTGTCGGTTACGAAGCCAGCAGGAGACCGTTCCTCTGCCAGTGTCCACCGGGGAAGCTCGGAGAGTGCTCAGGTGCAGAACGGGGCAGGGTGACGAGGGTCTAAATTCACATTCTGTCTGCATGCAACGTTTTCCTTCCGCATGGACCCCAGCTAGCCTCCCCCCTCAAATACTTGAGATTTATTACAGCTGCAGCCTGTGCTCAGGAAACATGCAATGCCTGTGGGCTCCTTATATAATGGGAGGTCACAGCATGTGTTTCAATCATGTCACATGGATGTTAAGGGTGTGAAATTATGGAAAATAGAAGGCTGTTGGTTAGGCAGAGGAGTCGGTCGGAGTATCTGTGCCATGGCCTTTGATGTTCAGAGCCTCCACCTTTCAACAGAAGGTAAAGCTGAGCCAGTTCAGTTGACCTTCTGTAGGGTAAGTCCAGCCTAGATCAAGAGACTCTCCACTGCACATGTACAACTAACTGCGTGTTCCCAAAAGGCGAGGGAGGTGCTCACCTCTGTTTCTTAAAGAAAGAAACAAATCAGTATTTGTGTTACTTCAATCCAAATGATCCTCCATTTCTGATTATCACTCAACTTCAATACTTCTTTTGATTCACATATGCTCTACCACTTCTTTCCTCTAAAAAGAGTCCTGTTCATTTTTGGTACCAATAGAACCTTTTTTTTGGTAGAAGATGTATTTCAGATATAGGCACACTGATACCAATTTTGGAATCCAAGAAATATTTATTGAGTGATGATTATAATAGCCATTATAATGGGAATAAATACGCCTAGTATTTGCAAGGCACTTGTTAAGCACTGGGTTCTAGAAACTCAGCCTTTGCAAAGACAAGCACCGTTCTTAAAAATGGAAGCCAAAGCTCTTTCAGAGTTGACTTCGAGAATGGAGCTGCCCCTGAACTGAAGAGATCACCCGCATACTTGCCTTTGAAGGCTTCTAAGGCTTAGACTTAAAAGATATTTATGCTGACCTCACCCCAACACACCTGCTGTGTACACAGCAGGTGGGTCTGCAGGGTGACAGTCAAGGCCAAGTCTCCTAACTTCAGGTGTCCCTTTCTGCCCTTCTCCCTTCTCCTTTCCATATGGAAAACTCTTCATAATCCACGATTATCATCCATTTGGTATATTTCCACACTTTCTACCCTTCCCCCCCAGCCAGAGGGCTTTTCAGCCATTACTTTGCTTGTTAAAACATAAAGATGGAGACAATAAAAAAAAAGAGAGGGTTAACTCAGAATTGGGTGATGTGGGTGCAACTAAAGATTCTAGGAAGGGGAGCCTTGAAATTAATGGTCAAAAGGCAGAGCTGTGACTGCACAAGACATGAACTTCCTTTATATCATTATCCTTATCAACATTTGTGCAAATGACTTAAGTTGTCTGTTCTGCATTAGGATACTTGCGGAATATGGATATTCTTTTTTTGTTTGTTTTTTTGCGGTACGCGGGCCTCTCACTGCTGTGGCCTCTCCCATTGCGGAGCACAGGCTCCGGACGCGCAGGCTCAGTGGCCATGGCTCACGGGCCCAGCCGCTCCGCGGCATGTGGGATCCTCCCGGACCGGGGCACGAACCCGCGTCCCCTGCATTGGCAGGCGGACCCTCAACCACTGCGCCCCCAGGGAAGCCCTGGATATTCTTTGAGAATAGTTTTGTCTTTCCCTTGTTTCATAGCATTGAAAATTCTTAAATATCTAAGTGATGAGGGTGGGCATAAAGGGATATCTTTTAATAGTGCTAATTTTAGAAAATAGAATTGGGAATTTAGTGACACTAAGAAAATTCAGGTTAGAGAATATACCAAGTTGTCCTTGACATGAGAGAACTAAGATTTTTCAGCATCTGACTAGTAAATTTTTTTTCACTTTGAAATTAGAGTGTGACCTGAAATGGAGAAACAGTTTTTAATCCAAAATGGTTTCTCCTCAGTGGCTTCCCTAACTTCCCATGGTCTTTCATCCACTTGCTTGGTAGTTGTTGGGTGATTTCATGTGTCCCTGCTTGTTTCTGGATGTTAAAAGTATCTATATCTCCTCGTCATGGTCTTTTCAGGGCACACTTCTCTCAGCTTTGCTGGAAACAGTTACATCAAATACCGGCTTTCTGAAAATAGCAAAGAAGAGGACTTTAAACTGGCCCTGCGTCTGCGAACACTGCAAAGCAATGGGATTATAATGTACACCAGAGCAAACCCCTGCATCATTCTGAAGGTAATGAAAATAGGTTCTCTTTTCCTGCCGTCAGTTCTCATGTTAGTATTTTGGCTCTTGGATTGGGGTCTGAAATCATTTTGTCTTTTAAGTTCAGAAACCAGAAGCCGGCTTTAGGGCCAGGGGAGCAGCAGCAGAAGTGGGAAGTGTGCCAACACCCCATTTCCTTTCATAGATTCAGCTTCAAAATTAGCTCTTCGGAGACTGGGGCACCTCTCTCTGGAGTAGGTTCAAGAGCCGGCCTCCTCTGAGTTGTAATCACTCATCAGTTCGTTAGAATGTGTTTCCTGATCAATTCCACGGTAGGGTGGTCCTTTCAAAAGACTGACTGTATCCTCTTCTACAACACGGGTAGAAGGTCACTTGTGTTCTCGCTCAGGGAAGAAGCTGGACATCTGGGCTGTAGAAGATTCCATATGCCCTCTTATGGCCCAAGTATACCAATTTTTAAAACATGTCCAGCCTCAGAAACCCTCCAAAGGCACCAGATTTCCTTTAGAGCAGGGGGTCCCCAAGCCCTGGGCCGTGGCCGGGTACCAGTCTGCGGCCTGTTAGGAACCGGGCTGCACAGCAGGAGGTGAGCGGCAGGCGGGTGAGCTAAACTTTACCTGGCGCGCCCCATCGCTCCCCATCGCTCCCCATCGCTCGTGTTACCGCCTGAGCCATCCCCCGCATCTCTCCAATTACCGACTGAACCATCCCCCCATCACTCGCGTTACCGCCTGAAACACCCTCCCCCCCATCGCTCGCGTTACCGCCTGAACCATCCCTCTGATCGCTCCAATTACCGCCTGAACCATCCCCCCCCCATCGCTCCAATTACCGCCTGAACCACCCTCCCCCCCATCACTTACATTACCGCCTGAACCATCCCCCCCATCGCTCGCATTACCTCCTGAACCATCCCCCAATCACTCGCATTACCTCCTGAACCATCTCCCCAACCCTAACCCCACCCCAGCCTGTCTGCGGAAAAATTGTCTTCCACGAAACTGGTCCCTGGTGCCAAAAAGGTTGGGGACCACTGCTTTAGAGCAAGTCTGGCATTTGTAGTCAGGTCAGAGCTTCTGGTCCCTTCATGAAAACAACAACAATAATACTAACAGCATGACATGCCTCATTTGATTTGTGCCATAAAGCTAATATAATAAATGTGTTATATATATATATGATCAGCCCCATTTGATCAAGGAGCATATAGAGGTTCAGAGAGGTTAAGTTATTTACCCAAAGTTGTACAGCTAATAAGTGGCAGGCCTGGACCTGACTTCCAGTGTCTCTCACACCATGCTCTTTATCTCGATGCTCTCCCCAGCTCTCAGTTTTGTAACTATAACTCATTTCATCCAGAATCACATCTGGGCATCTGTAGACAAGATTAAGCCTTCCAGGATGAGAGGAGAAGGGAAAAGTAGGAGGAAGACATGTTTAATTGAACGTTATTCTCACCAGGCTGCTATGCCAGCCCACCGTAAGTGTGTTCAGAGACGGGTGAAGTCTGTCCAGTAGGAGATACCCATCCAAGTGGAAATGGCTAGCGATTTTCTCCTACCTACTGTTCTGTCACTAAGCTTAACTGGGATCATGGTGGGCTTTTTTAGCTTCTGTTCTTTGATTGCTAGGTCACATCCAAGTTGATTAGATGACCCAGGCTTTAATCCTGGAGGGAGGAAAGTATGTAGAACATTAAATGCCTGTGGCTTCTCCTACCACATAGACCTTTATGTACCTCCTTCTTGTACTGCCAGGTATTACTTGGTGTCCAGAGGGAGTGAGCACAGAGCTGGAGTTTAAAGTGGGCCATTTTCATGGGCAATCTCCCAATACCCTGACTCATTCAACTCACAGAATCATTTCAGCTCTGTTAGGAAAGCAGTGTTTTCAAAAGAAAACAAGCTAAACGCTCTGGATGCACAGTTTTAGAAAACAATGAATTCCAACCAGACCTTCATGGTGGAAAAATATAAATTCAAAAACCTAAGTTCTGTCTCTTTAACCTCCTAGCCTGTGAAGCAACCTGCCTAGGGTCCTTAGCTCACTTTCTAACTAGCCCTGAGCAGTGGGGTTTGTATAATTACTGGGAAGGTGCTCTGCCCATTCAGACGTACCAGCCCCCAGGGGCTGCGCCTGGGTGTCGCTGACCTCGCACCTCTCCCCTTCAAGCTTCAGTAAGGCTTGTTGCTGAACGTCCTTAGGAGGCAAATACTTCTATTAGCAATTCTCTTAAATGGCATTAAATTTGAAAGAGAACAAAAATATTGGACGTGAATGGCTCGATCCTAAAGTGGAGCTTGCCATTTGACACTTCACTGGCAAGTGTCTAAAATGTGCAGAACCCTGGAGATGGGAAAGAAGAATAATTAAACCTTTTAGTCAGCGCCAGCTCCTAAGGTATATTGTATTTCGTGAAACAAGCGTGTTTCTGAAAGTTGTGTCAATTGAATCTCTATAAATGGAATTCTGATAAACTAGGGATGGTTGCTATTTGAAGGAACCCTTCCCTTAGTCCCTCTGTGATGCGAATGCTCACCCCCCATCTGTCTGTTCTGTAAGTTTGCTTTTCATATGTTGGCTTTGCCCAAAGCAGGACAGAGCTGTACTGAACTACTGCAGATACTTTCCTACAGTTGCCAGGAATATCCACTTAGGGGATTTGAATCTGTTTGCTTAACATTTTCAGCCTCATGCAAGATTTAATTTCATTGGCTTTAGGTACAGTATGTGCCTTGCACTTTGGTTCAATGATTACGCTGAAATGCTTTGTTTAAACTGCACCTCTTGGTTGTTTATATTTTCCCGGTTAAAGCACATTCCCTAAAAAGTACTTAAGACGATCTGTGGGGTGAAGGGCACCCCTTCAAGACAGTTGAAGAACTGCATGGAGACCTCGGGAAGTGAACATTCTCATGGACGAGGAGCAACGCTGTCTTTTAGCAGCAGTAAAGGCGCTCGTTCTTCCGTTCATCATTGATACCCTGTCTTCTTCCAAAAGAGATTCCAGGCTTACCATAAATACTCAAATGCAATAAAATCAAAGCACCATTAAGATGAAAGCAAGGATAGGTAAAATAGGGGAAGGGGATTAGGAGGTACAAACTTCCAGTTATAAGTCATGAGGATGTAATGTACAGTGTAGGGAATGTAGTCATTAATATTGTAGTAACTTTGTATGGCAACAGATGGTAACCAGACTTATCGCTGATGATCATTTTGTAATGTATAAAAATATCGAATCATGTGGCACACCTGATAAGTCAATTATACTTGAATTTTAAAAAAGATGAAAACAAAAGGTTAAGACTCAACCAATGAAATAGGGACGGACAGAATATCATCATTGAAAAATCTAGACCAGGGGTTAGTTGAACACAAACCATAACTCTGAGTTTCCTGGCAGCCAAAGTCAGGATGAAAATGGTGGGATAGATGCTGTGGCTGTCCTCGAACCTATAAAAGAAACATGTCAGATCACCAGGAGAGACACAAGTAACTTTTTCCCTATGTTAGTCTCTCAGGTGCAATATTATAGCAGAAGCACAAGAAGTACTTGCTTGTTAATCTAGAAATATCGCATTTGATCTTTGGGGAAAGTTATAGATGAAACATGGCTTCATTTTGATGATTCTCAGACATGGCTAGTTAAGACCCCAGGACTAAGACGAAGATAGTCAAGGAAAGCTCATTTGGTTTATAAAACAGTCCACTTGGAAGAGCCAGATCCTTGCAACACAGATCAGAAGAGTAACAAGGAAGACCTCACAGAGTTTCAAGGATATATGAAAGCTATCACTGAGAAGTGAGCTAACTTATAATTACACGTTATAGTAATAATGAAATACCTAAGAGTTTATGAAGTACTTTCACGTACATATATTTTTATTCTCACTCTCCTGTGCATAGATGTGAGTGCCTACTTTTTCGCCTGTGAGGAAACTGAGATTCAGAGAGAATCATTGACTTGCCTAAACTAATCAGTAGTGGACCTGGCCCTCTGGCAGTGGCAAACAGGTCAGGAGTACAGCAGTGTTTATCAAAAGAAGAGATTTGAGGGAATGAGATTTATTCACTCATGTATTCATTCAAAGTGTATTTTTTGAGCATCTACTGTATGCCAGATAGCTATTCATGGCTGCCTTAAAAATAGGTTTTCAAGAAATTCGCTTTTCAAAGAATATTTAATGACCCTCTTAAAAGTTTTATCATGATGGTGCATTTGCTAGAGCTACGCATGAACAATCTGAAGCAGTAAGACTTATGCCATAATTCATACTTTTTACTCAAAATCGTACTTTCCTACAAGATGACTTCTTACAGCTCTGATAGCTTGTCTCCCAAGCTCCAGGCCACAGAAGATCCAGGTTAAAGCACATCACTGATTTCAGACAACCCTGAACACCTGCATATTTCGTAACAGTAGGGCCACACTCTGAATTATGCATTTCATTGAACACATTGCCTACGTGCCTCTGCCCCCTCCCCCGTCCCCCGCACATCATTCAGATCCTCGCTGTAGACTTTTCTTACAGCTTCATGCACACCTCAGTTTCTATTAAAATAGCTTGCCCTCTGCTTTGAGAAAGCTTTGTCCTCTTAAAAGAGAGATCCTTTAAAACTGGATAAACCCTATTCTGAAGACAGAAATACTAAATATGATCGGCACATAATTTTCCAAGATGAGAGGACTCAGATATGAAAGTGTTCTTTCCTCTCCCTGGCATAATATACTTGTGAAATGGCCAAACATTAACTTTTTGCAAGGTAGCTTTTGGCATCCACATTCTTGTTTGTCATCTAGACAAGGCTTATAATTCCAAACTCCTAGAATTTTGAAGGTACGGATCATTTTTGTTTTCAAAAGCCTGAGGCTCATGTAAGCATCTGGCTTTCTATTCATTCAGCGGTGTTGCTGCTCTTATTATTTTCAACAGGAAAGAAAAAGGGAAACTTAACCATGCTCGGTGTTACCATGGGAGAATTTTATGTTCCTTAGTGATAGAATGTCGATGTATGTGAGCCTGTCAGAGCCACATCAGTTCTCCTGGATGAGTTTGTAACTTGGTTATTATCCCAAGAGGTAGGGCATTAGGGAGGGGAATGGACCAAGTCATACATTAATTGAATACATCCTTTTCCAAACCTTAGATGAACTGCACCCTCACCACAAGATTTTCCTTGATAGACTGGGGACCCCACCCTGTAGCCACTGAGCAGAACAGCAGATGGACTGTGCCAGGGGCAGGTAGACCCTAAAGTCACATCTGATCATTTGATTACCTACACTGAAATAAAGATACGGATATTATCCAGGAGTTGTCACTGAGCAAGTATACTGGCATGATTTACAATATTCATTCAGTCCATTTTGTTGAACAACAACAGAAAAAATGACAAAGGCAACAGCAAAGATTACACACGAAAGGTCTCTGAAAAGAAAATTAAAATTTGTCTCCAGTCTTTTCACATTCGTACATTTGCATTGCAGAGCGCAGGATGTATGTACTAACTGTGAATGAGGGGCTGACCGTGCTGCAGTGGACACAGTCAGTCTCCTTGTAAAATAAGTCACAGCTTTCCATAGAAGGAGTCTCAAACCCAGAGGGGCCAACCGATGCTCTCCAAGGGACCTGGATGATACGTGACAAAGCCAGAATTAGATTTCTCATTTCTAAATTCCCAAGGCTCTGCCTGATTCACAGAGCCCCTGCCTTTCATATACACACATTTATGTGGCATAAACTTTACATGCAGGAAGAGAGGGTGACAGCAAATTCATAGAGCCATAGGGGCAGTCATGAGAGACCCTAAGAATTAGTTGTCTGCGGAAGACACTGAAGCGTAGAAAAATACCCCATTTGTGAGGGTGGGTGAGGTTGTGATCATTCCTAACAGATCTATCAGTAGCCAAACGCATTTTGGAAAGACTGGTTCAGTTTATTTCTATGAATTCACTTGACAGTTGTACCTCCTTGGCACTTAGTGCCTGGAAGGTCTGTCTTCCCTCCCCTTCTGTCCCTTCCCCTCTCTTTCTCCACAAGTTCATGTTCTCTACCCAGGTTTTCACATAGGACTATACATAGATCCTAAGTAAAGGCCAGCTGCCCTGGCGTGACTGAGACACTGGCCTCCACAAGATCCAGGGACAAAGACCAGAAAAGTAGCTTCTGTTTCACAGTTTTCTAGCTGTGAATTCCTTCATGGACCAATAACAATTTGTTGACTAGACATGGGTCCAGCCCTCAATCCCTGGATCCTCAAACCATCTTGCATTTCTGAGAAATGCAGATGACGGTGGACGACAGAGGATTCAAAGGCCAGCCTGTGTCCTCGGCAACAGTTGAACCTGGGTCTCCATGGAGGACCAGTACCTGCCCAACAGCTTTCAACTCGCCGGCATCCTTTAGTAGCACGCTTTCCTGATTTTGGTGTCCCTCTGGGGTCAGGCTGCTGAGGGTGGGGGGACTTGGATGCCCTCTCTGCACCAGTGCAATAAAAAAAGCAGGCAAGTCTCTGTTGTAGCTGACCCCAGATCAGGGTCTGGAAGTATCTACAAGGTGTAAAGAGTTAACCAGATCCTTCTGGAGTTCCAGAGGTCATCAGATATACATACATTCTTAGCAAACGGCCAAGCCCTGAGCACTTTGTGAGATAATCTTAACCTAAATGATGAGCAGCGGTCCTGAAGAACTGTTTTAAGAAGATGGCTAGTGTTTAATAGGAGGGTTTTTACATCTTAAATATGTATGATGCTGCGAAGTAAGAAATCTACCTGGCCTCTTTCTCTCCCCTACAGCACAGTCACACAAACTTACCTGGGGAGTATATATGTATTTCTGTGCTGATCTGATTAATAGCCATCTCCCTCACTCAAATATAAGCCCCATGAGGGCAGACCACTTTTGCTAACAGTGGTCCCCATAGCACCTAGCACATTGCTTAGCACATAGTAGATGTTCAATAAATATTCGTAATTAATATTAATGAGTCCACAGAAATCATTCCTGTGCTGGTAGTAACTAGGAAGGGCGCAGAGAATAAACAGACTCCCTAAACAAGAAATAGCTGTGAATTTTTAAAGGATGAAGACGGAAAGAATAGGAGCATTCTTAAATATGTAAGTGTGGCTTTCTGAACCTGTGGTCATATTGCTAAATACAAGAAGCTTTGTGAAATATCAGGCATGCATTTGCACGGCATATAATGATGAGGGAGAGTTACTATTACAAATCAAACCACAGAAGATTTATGGCTGGATCAAAAGCGTTGTCCATTCTAAAGCCCAGGCTGGTTGGGAACAGGGTGTCCAGGAACTTATTGCCAGATGCATACTGAAAAGCGCTGCGGTGTTCGTTCCCGCACAGATCGTGGACGGCAAGCTGTGGTTCCAGCTGGACTGCGGCAGCGGCCCCGGAATCTTGGGCATCTCGGGCCGCGCTGTCAACGACGGGAGCTGGCACTCGGTCTTCCTGGAGCTCAACCGCAATTTCACGAGCCTGTCCCTGGACGACAGCTACGTGGAGCGGCGCAGGGCGCCCCTCTACTTCCAGACGCTGAGCACCGAGAGTACCATCTACTTCGGGGCCCTGGTGCAGGCGGATAACATCCGCAGCCTGACCGACACGCGGGTCACGCAGGTGCTGAGCGGCTTCCAGGGCTGCCTGGACTCCGTGGTGCTGAATAACAACGAACTGCCGCTGCAGAACAAGCGCAGCAGCTTCGCCGAGGTGGTGGGCCTGACCGAGCTGAAGCTGGGCTGCGTGCTCTACCCTGACGCCTGCGAGCGCAGCCCCTGCCAGCACGGAGGCAGCTGCGCCGGACTGCCCTCCGGGGGTGAGTGCGCCTGCACCCTGGGCACCCTGCCCCTGCCGGGAGGGGGTGGGGGGAGGTAGGGGGGGTAGGGGCGATGGGGGGCAGACCTGAAGGGGGACTCGCTGTCACAAGCATGACCAACCCAAGTGCTCTCCCAGAGAGGTGTATGCACCCATAATGCTGGCCCAGCTTCTTAAACCCCTTTAAGGAAGTCACAAAGCTTGACAATTACAGGAACGTCCAGTTTAGCCAATCCGTTTGCAGCATCCCACAGGCGCAGTGAGCTGGCTGCAGGAGCCCAGAAGATGCTGGCACGGCTGCCCCCTTCCCTGCCCACTCCACACCCTTCCAGGCCTCAGCAGCCTGGAGGAATACGATCTCCTTTTAAGTATCTGCCCCTTTGGACCACTTGCAAGTCACTGCAGAACAATGGGTAGCAGTCTGAGTTATGGCATCCATGCACTATCCTTTCACGGGTAGCCATATAATTTTACTAGAAGCTAAAGGATGTGTGGGGTGAACCCACCACCCCTGAAATAGAAGTGTAGTCATGTTTTAGAGCATGCTTTTAAAACGTGTGTATTACAAATAAGTCTAGGGACAACTCTATGAAGGATTAGAAAGTCGAGAATAAGGAGAGGGCAATTTACATGAAATATCAGGACAAACCAGTCAGTGAGGGCAATGATACTTTACCCCTGTAAAATTCCCCCCAGAGATACATCATGAAGACGAAAGAAAGAACAGGGGAGGCCAAAAAAGAGGGCAGGAGTGGTGTAGATTTATAGAGGGTTTCTATTGTTTGAGGGAAAAGCCAAGGTTATTTAAGTCCTAGGAGTCTGACGATGAAAGCATCCCTGACTTTACCCAGATGCAGGATCCGTGTTGATATAAACTAGGTCAGGCGCTCTCCTGGTTGAAGGCTTTGCCACCGCAACGGCCTAACTCCTGATTCCACTTTAGCTCCTCTGCAGAGCCTCTCAGTGGGAGTGTGATTACCAAATTTAAACCTTCCTCACAAATCACTTAGAGATTCTGCTGTGTGCATTACCATCTAATGTTCGTGAAGCCCAACTCCAAATGTAGAGTCGATTTTATTATTAGAATGTTATAAACTGCCCATGAAATGATGCAGTGCCGAAACACAGACAACGAAGTTACTTAGACTTGCATATGTTACTGCCACAATGAGGGCCAAGTGCCCTGGGGGGAAATTTCTGCTGTCTCGATTTAAGAAATCTATTTGCTGTTTTTACTGTCTCAGCAGTATATGTAAGTAAAGGGTTGTTACGGCGCCATAATTCCTGAATGAAGGGCAGTAACTATACTTCAGTGGTTCTATAAACCAGCCCATTATGACAAGTCGTGGCCAGTTTTTCACCAGGCAAAATAATGCTGCTACTGTGAGCCATCCACAATATATAAAAGGAGCATGTAATTAAATTTGGGCTGAAATAGAACACCACTCCATGTCAAATGCTGGGTACATAGCCACAAATTGTAACATACTTTTAACGATGGCAGGACGTTGTTTTTGCCGGCAAAGCTATGGGCTTCCACAGTGGGTTAGCTTTAAAATAGTAATAATCACTGTATTAAGGAAAAAGACTGAGGAATCTTGCTTTGTCTTCAGTGTACATTTTAATTTTTTAGTTGCCATGAAATCCCTGAGCTAAATATTCAGTGCAGGTGTGTTCATTAAATGACTGTGACCCACATCAGAAACAGCAGTCTTCCTCTATTTTTTTAATCTCGTTTGGTTTAACCAAATTTCAGGACTGAGGACCCACCTGCCATATACTTTTTCACATGGTCTAAAGAACCTGCTTTCCTCTCCCCAGGGACCCAACTTTACCCATGGGTTTCATCCTCTCTCAAACTCCTCTTTGTTCCCTGTTCCTCACTTTCCCCTGTGATTGGGCTTGGGCTTGGGCTTGGGATTCTACAGGAGGTACTCTTTCTTCCAAGGGAATAAAGCCTTTCATCAGCTCAAGCTCTCCTTTGTACAAGGAGGCTAATGTTTTCCTTAGACAAAGAAAGTGTCTTTCCTCACCTCCATCTATACAACTCCCTTCTCTCAAGCCTACTACCTGTTTAGTTGAGAGGGCCCAGTGGTCCTTATTTCAGGAGCCCCCGGGTGTGGTCCAGATGGGGAAGTACCGTGCTCTCATGCACAACAGTACTGAGCCCAGGGCCACCAAACTCGTGGGCACTCACCAGAAGATCCAGGAAGAGTGTTTCTGTTGCTCCCCTGGGGAATCAAAGGCACAGGAGCCTTTTTTTTTTTTGGGCTGCGTTGGGTCTTCATTGCTTTGTGCAGGCTTTCTCTAGTTGCGTCAAGTGAGGGCTACTCTTCGTTGCGATGTGCGGACTTCTCATTGCGGTGGCTTCTCTCGTTGTGGAGCACGGGCTCTAGGCGTGAGGGCTTCAGTAGTTACAGCACACAGGCTCAGTAGTTGTGGCTCGCGGGCTCTAGGGCGCAGGCTCAGTAGTCGTGGCGCATGGGCTTCATTGCTCCGCGGCATGTGGGATCTTCCTGGACCAGGGATCAAACCTGTGTCCCCTGCATTGGCAGGCAGATTCTTAACCATTGCACCACCAGGGGAGTCCAGGAGCCCTCTTCTGATGTGTGAGGAGGTACCTACCTGCTTCCTGGCTGTCAGGATTGGGGTTTTGGTTTCTAAGAAAGAGGAGAGAGGATCCATTCTCTTGCCCCCATTATCAGAGGAATTCTTGGTAGGTCTCCGTATCCTATCTGCAAATTCCCTACATTCTTGCCAAATAGTAGGGAGGGATGGGAGGACAAGAAAAGGAAGAACCAACAATTTTCCCTTTACCTCATATCTATGAAAGTATTTCGCTAATTATAAGCTTATTTAAAATAAAGGAGGGCTTCCCTGGTGGCGCAGTGGTTGAGAGTCCGCCTGCCGATGCAGGGGACACGGGTTCGTGCCCCGGTCCGGGAAGATCCCACATGCCGCGGAGCGACTGGGCCCGTGAGCCACGGCCGCTGAGCCTGCGCGTCGGGAGCCTGTGCTCTGCAACGGAAGAGGCCACAACGGTGAGAGGCCCGCGTACCACAAAAATAAATAAATAAAGGAAAAGTCATCTTAGTTGTGAGTGATGGTTTAAGAAGAACAATATAAATAAATAAATAAATAAATAAAAAGAACAATAATACTGAGTCATTAATGAAAGAATATTCATGCCTGGAAGAATTCCCTCTGGCTACCAGGGTATCTAATCATAGGAAAAGAGTCTTGCTTCCCCAGATCGAAGGCTAGGATGCATGGAGTATTCAGATAGGAAATGTGAACTGGAGAAAGTAGAGTGAGGTGCTTAAAGTGGCTCCATGTGAGAATGTTGATAACACAAGTTCATGGTTTGAACATCTTACTGTTGTTGGAACCCTGAGTTATGTGTTGCTCTAAAATTCCATGAGACATATTTTAACATAATCATTCTCTTGGCCCTTCAAGAATGCTGGGGTATTGGTCATTGGCTGTCCTGGTGACAGACTCCACTCTCTAATTGTGACAATCCTAGCACCAGGCCCTTGTTCCAGAGCATTCAGAGTTTTAATAGCAGGCAACCCACAGCAAGAAGCAGATTTCTTTCAGAGAAGCAGGATTCTGCTCCAGCCACCTCCAAACCCAACCAAACCCTTGGCATGAGGGGCAAGGAAGCCGAGTCTACTAGCCTGGAATGGCATGGTCAGCAGATTTGACCAGGGTTATCCCTCTGACTGTCCCAGGAGCAAACCACGGGAACCCCAGGGGAGTCAAAGCCCAGAACGCTGACTTGTAATAAGAGGGTAAATATGACTCTGTAAATCAACCACAGAGGGAAGGCTCTCTCTTGGTAAAGCCTTAAAATTATATGTATTTCATAAACATGAACTGGAAATAGCAACCACCATGGAAAAGGAATGGCCTAGTCCCATCATGACCCCTGCGTTTCCAGACCCAGTGGGTGGGCAGCAGCCCAGTGAGCACCCGTGATCTGAAAAGGAGGCCCCAGTCCTTCGTGCCTTATCCTATCCTACTCAGCTCAAGCCCATGACCGGAATGCCAAGTTGAGGCTAAACTATAATTTGGCGAAGCAAGGCAGCAACTGATGACTACAGGTCAGAAATAGTCATTCAGATGACTTTCATGAGACTGCAAGCTTAACTCTTAAAATGAGAAGTTGATAACTTTTTCGATGGTAGAGTTCCATTTGTTAGTTTGTCATTTTGTTACTATGTGCTTGGTACTGTGTTACCTGTGCTGTGACACAGTTCTCACCCCAGTACTCTGGATCGGTACTATTCTTTGCTCCCTTCAACCCCCATGTTTCAGATAAAGAAACAGGCCAGAGAGGTTAAGTAACTAGCCCAACATCACACAGTAAAGTGAAGAAGCAGGATGTGATCCAGGTTTGCGGAACTCCTCCCCCCCACCCAGCCCCCCAGCCTATGCTCTTAACCCTTGTTACTCAAAGTGTGTTCCAGGGACCAGCAGAAGCCACATCACCAGAAATGTTAAAAATGCAGCAACTCAGAATGAATCAGAATCTGTACTTTAACAATATCCCTAGGTGATACGTTGATTTCTCTCTCTGTCTCTGAACTGCCCTGAAACGCCAAAAAGAAAAGTTCTTTTCTGTTTTCGTGTGTTGTATATAGTGGTTCTCAAACTCCAAGGTGCCTCTGCACCATCTGAGGACCTGATTAAAACAAGACCTTGTTATAGAAGAGTCTCTTGGTTGTTAAGGGAAAAGGAGAATCTATTGACTTGCCTCTGTCATCCACTGTCCACATCCAAGGAACATTCTCCTAGGTCACTGAGTTGTATTTGCAAGTTACTGAATTTACCACCAAGAAAAAATTTCTCAGTGAAAACTTTGGAGGAAGAAAGAGACCCAAACCTACGAATCAGAATCTCAGAATCTGCAAGTGTGGAATTCAGGCATCTCTGTTTTTAACAAGCCTCCAAGACAGTTTTATGCAATTCTGAGTTTGAGAACCACTGACATTTGGG